TAAGTTAAATATGGGCGAATTCTGAGATGGATCAACAGATAGGATAGGGTCTTAACCCTATCCACTCAGAGAGTCCAGATCTGAATATGATTCAGATTTAGAAACCTCCTAATAAGATTAGGAGAAGGCTGATCTAATCTACAGATAAGATAAGGGTTTATCCTTATCACCTAAAGAGAGCTCTGATCCAAATATGATTTGGATAAGCAGCTCCTAATTGGATTAGGAGTTGATATCTTAGGGTTACACAAGAATGAGGGGGCGGCAGCCTTTAGATGAATCACATAATCAGATCCTCTTGAGAGCTGAAAACAAAAAGAAGAAAGATTTCTGCAATCCTTGCAAAGATCTTTCTTGCCGCCTCCTTCCTGTAGCCACCAGACATCCAGTTCGATCTCCAATTGTGGGAGAAGTCAAGATTCGATCTTGACATCAGTTCTTTGAGAAAGAATTGATAGGAAGATGTGCTCACGTGCCATCCTGCTGTTTCTTGCAAAGGACAGAATTCTTGGAGAAGAATACTGTTGATTCTGCTCCATCCTGCACTGTGCCATGTTCAGTGGGAGCAGTCTTTGGATCCTTCCTTGGGTGTGAACACCTTCGTTGGGAGATATTATTTCTTCGTATCAGGTATAATCCTCTCCTACTCCTTTTGGTTCAGATCTGGTTCAGTTTATGGTTCAAGAATGATCCTTGAAAATATGATTTTCTAAATAGGGAATGCGATTCCCGGTTGAAAGGGAGAGAAAAATTTTTTAAATCCGCCCCCTTTATTTCGCAAGTTTTGGGCGTCCATACGATGAATCTCTCATCCCTTCAGTTGGGACAGTACAAGAATTCATCTGAGTGGGTAATCATAGTGACAGGATCAGCCCCTTTGTCGGACAAAGTGAATGACTGGGGATGCATTATCTCTGATGGAAACCAAAACTGTCGCCAATTGATTTCAACCGTTGAAATTTGTTTTGCAAAATATATTTATATAGAGATATACATATATATATTATGGTTTCAAAATGTTTGCAAAAGGTTTTAATTCCCGGGATCCATGTGAGTAGAGAGTGCAGCACTACACCTTGCAGCCGAGGGAGAGGTCCTCTCTTGTCGAGCAGTGTTTGATCATTATGGGCTGAGAGGTTAAGTGTAAGACCATTGAGGATTATACCTGATGGGCTAATCTTACATCTGCCCATAGTCTTTGGGCCTTCATAAGATGGCTGGACCCAATGACCATTTCGTGTAAATGTTGGGCACATTAAGAGCCCATAATGATGGACTCAGGGGTTCACTGTATTCAGCAGTGAATTCGGCCAGGCCTTGTGACAGAGGTTAGGTTGTACCCATGTGGCTAATGTGTATATCAATGATAGGGTCCCACGCCATACAAAGAGAGCCAAACTAGCCAGCATTAAAGAGGAAGTGAGCCTGAAAGCTTAATGGGCCTAAAAGCCCATTTCAAACTGGGTTAATTAAATTAATTAAATAGGGGTAGATCTGGGATTTGGATCAATAGATAAGATAAGGGATTATCCTTATCCACTTAAAGAGTCCATATCCAAATAAAAATCTGGATCAAACGCCATTGGTCAAGGGTTTGTTGGAACGTTGACACCAGACAAAGTTCCAGAGGCAGGAGGAAAAAAGGCAAAATCAAATTGTGTGATAATCAAATAGACAAGAAAAGGCAGGAGGAGAAAAGAAAGCCAAACCCCAAAAAATAACATTTGGGGTTTGCCAACTGATGGTAGGAATAAGCAAAATCAAATTGAAAGATTTCAAAAACTAAAAAAACAATGTTGATAGGTTCAAGCATTCCCTCGCTGAATAGAGAGAGAGAGTGAGAGAGAGAGCGGAGAGCGGTGGCAACCGAAGCCAAATCACAGTTGCTCCCTTCTATCCTCCCAACGATTACCGGAGCCAATGTTTCAATCAGTTCACTCAACGCCATTCGTCTTGACCAATTAGCTTCATCGTCGGTCGCTCAGCAGCATCAAATCACATCGAGTAGCGATCCAATGAGCGTCAGTCAACGTCAAGTCACTTCAAAAGGAATTTTATTGCTTATTGAGGGTAGATGGGGAAAAGAAGTCGTACATTGGATCAACGAAGAGGTCTTTACTGTTAGATTCCAAAGCTTGCAGCAGCTTCTCCTCAAGATGGGTGAATGAAGAGAGAGGGAAGAGAAACCAATGAAAGGGACACGTATTATCATTCAAATACAACATCTGTCAAAAAGAGAAGTCATTCCAAAGCACCCCAGTCGTTATAGTTAGATTCTCAGGTGGTGTAGGTGGTGTGCTTAGGAAAATGATGTAGGCCTAGATTAGCCAAAACTCTTATCTTGAGTGCTTTTAATTCTTATTACACAAGCACTTCGTACTATTGTTTTATGTTATTTCTGATTAGCATTTAAGTTTGAAAAGGAATTAGTTAGGGAGGAAACTCATAGGAGCATATCAAAGTGATTCATGGCAAGATTTCTCAATATCAAACGCTTATGTGGCATCTGTGTCAATTTATGTGCTAATTTTGTTAATCTCAATCATCTAGATAGTGGCAGACAAAGTGTTTAATGTAGTAGTAATTATGAAAATTTGTCTTTACAAGTCACTGTAGAGGTGACTCCTCCCTCAAATCAAGCATTACACTTGGTCGCCTTGAAAACGGGTGTATCGTATCGTATCTTTTGAAAAAGATACACTTCAAGTGCAGCTAGATCAGATTGAACTGAAAAGACATGGATAAAACGTGACAGGATTCCCTGCAAGCAAAAACTTATAGAAAACATGTGAATAATTCGTAAGCTTTTAATTTGAAGCATAGTAGAGTCTAGGGAGACCAAATATGCCCCAAACTCCAAGAGCCATAGAGAGTAAAAATAAAATGCGTGGATCTAGTATTTGTAAGTACAAATATTAGCGGCAACTTTACAAAATTTCATTACTCATCGGTTACCAAGAAAGTGCAACCAACAAAACATAGAAACAACACAAGGACTAAGGAATACTAATATCTAATGCAACATTCAGACTTCAGCATATCGAAGGTGATTATAAAATAATAAACTCGCAATATGCACACGGAAAGACAAGTTTCCAAGCTGTGCCCACGTTAAAATGTTATAATGACAAAGATGAAATGCAGATTAAATCAAGTCCACATCCTCATCCTGTTGTTCTAGAATGATGGTTGCAAGAGCAAGCCTATAGGCTGAAGATCTCAAATTCCTAACCAGCACATAGATCTCCAATCTCTTTCTCTTCTTTGGAATCTCATTCCACTGCTCCTCTCTCAGACGAGCAAGCAGTGTAGCCTCGCAGAAAGCTTGTGCTACCGGTTTTTTACTGCACATGAACCACCAACATCATAACCAATAAAGTAACTTTGCCAGCAAAGAAAGAACAATGGAATAAATAACAATTTCTGTAACTTAGCATGAACAAATGAAAATATCTACAAACCTTCCACGAACAAATCCCGTTGTGACAAAACCAATAGGCCACCTGTGAGATTCTCTAGCTACAGGGTCTTCTGGAATCTCAAGCTCCCAATTGCTAGATGCTTGCTGCTTGAAGTATGATCCTATTAAAGATTGAGGAATTTGTAGTCCTCCATCCCTGTCTGATCTGAATTGTTCCGACAGTCAATATTAGCTGGTGGACGTGATACAAATACTTGCAAAATGTTGCGTCATATTTTTTACTTAAATGCAACCTTAGTATTAAGACAAAAGAAATGGAAGGACAAACCCTCTGTCCCTCCCTCCCTTACAAGTAAAAAGAAAGGAGCAAAATAATTAAACCCAAACTTAATCCCAACTATTTGAGTTTAACCAAGAGCCATATCTCCTGTCAAATTCTAAGTGCTTAGATCATCTCTGAGCACAAGTAAAAAAGGTGAACTAGAAGATCCAATCCCCCTATAGAAAAGAGGACTTGCCATACATCGTTTCCCAATTGATCCCCTTACAAAACCCTCAACCTTTGCATTCAGCGAGGGAAATCAAAACCAGGACAGCATGGGAGGCCCTGCCCATCAAGCCTAAAAACTTTTTGGTCATAGGCCAAAGTCCAAGCATTGAGGCCTTTATTGGGGTGGGGGTGTTATGGGCATAGAATGAAAATAAAAAAAATAAAAAAAGTCTAGGCAGTACAAAAACCTATAAGGTAAAGTAAAGTTGGGATAATTAACAGACCTGTCTGTCCACATAGATAGATCACTAGGATTAGGTGCACAAACAACAGCACCCTCCTCAAAGACACCTTCTTTATAGGCATAGAGAAGGACTCTGAGAAAGCATAGTTTCTGAGCAAGAGGTATTTCAATGGCAACTTTTGGATTCGGCAGGTGGTTGACTTCATTCTTCATCAATCTAGAGAACGTTCTTTTGTTCTTTGGAGCACCCGGAAATAAAAGCAAATCATCACCATGGATTTCGCTCAAGTAGTTAGTCAATATATTGGATGTCCTGGCTACAAATCCTTGAAAAGGAGAGATACCTGACTCAAGTAGTGTTGATCTACAATTTTTGTATCCTGAATTTTCTAATGAACTGTACAGGTATAGTTCTCCCTTACAAGCTCTCCCTTTGATAGTATCTCCCACTGTGGTGGATCTTTCCTCCAAAGTGAACCTGATACAGTTCCATGGAGGTGGTATCGGAACTTTCAAAGGTCTCACAGGAAAAGGACGAAGTTCCACCTTTTTATCAAAGGACGCTGCCTCAGTGGCCATGAAACATGAATATGCGTTGCAATCAGGAAAATCAAAAGGAAAAGATGGAAACCCAACCTGCAGTAAGAACATCCATTATTCACAGTATTTGAGAACCCAATACTTATAAGCTGAATCATTTTCAAAAAAAAAAAATACTTATAAGCTGAATGTACCTACAGCACAAGAGATCCAGTGTTTCTCCCTCAGGCCAATTGCATGAGCCCCATGGGACACAAGAGGAACCCAAAAGGCCTTCACCCAACTTAATGGGAGGATGATGGACCACCTGTAAGGAGGCAAGGCATTAATAGTCATATTTTGAAGTATTCATTTGCAAAAAAGTTTCCTTCAAATTCTAAAAGTCAAAAAGAGGTTATATATAATTGATGAAGTGCAAGCTACTAGTGGCAACATGCCTAAAGTTCAAGATGCAGTGGAAAGAAGGAAAGATATGAAAGCCACTTAGTTTCTGTTCAGCAGAAAACAACAGAAGGAGAAAAGTAATCAAACAGATTATATAACACTATCAGATTCTGGAACTCATAAAGTAGACATTCAAAACAACCACATTATTTCACCTTTCAATTTACAAAATGTGAAATGCACTTCATTTAATAACTTTGAAACAGTAAACATGAACTGAAACATGTACATGCACCAAACAGAAATTTGACTTGCAATAAGAGAAATTATATACAATAATATGAGTTTACAGATGAAAATTCAAAACAACCACATTATTTCACCTTTCAATTTACAAAATGTGAAATGCACTTCATTTAATRACTTTGAAACAGTAAACATGAACTGAAACATGTACATGCACCAAACAGAAATTTGACTTGCAATAAGAGAAATTATATACAATAATATGAGTTTACAGATGAAAATTCAAAACAACCACATTATTTCACCTTTCAATTTACAAAATGTGAAATGCACTTCATTTAATRACTTTGAAACAGTAAACATGAACTGAAACATGTACATGCACCAAACAGAAATTTGACTTGCAATAAGAGAAATTATATACAATAATATGAGTTTACAGATGAAAAGGTGCTCTACAGATGTTAAATAAAGAGAAAAGAACAACTAAAAACTTTGACAAGCAAATCAAAGTGGAACTGTGGAAGAAGGAGCTCCTTGAAGCTATGTGGATGAAAGTTTGTTTTTAGATAACATATACATATACTAGAATGAATTAACATGGCAGATATACAAAGCTTCATATAAAGCAAAAACATTATTTAGCAACCTGTATCTTAAGCTTCTGATAAATCCCAGCAAGAAGAAATAAAATGTGAAGGGAAGAAATGCACTTACCCTGCAAAAGAACCTCTTTGGTCGTTATCTTTTAAAAGTAAAATGGGGCAAGATCTGGAAGATTGTTCCTTGACTTTATTAGTCAATATCTCTGATTGTGATTTATCAAGGTAAAGAAACGCTAAATGCTGCTGATGTTTTTCCATGCAAAGAATACTCTCCTCCAATGGAGGATTAATACCTTTGCAAGTATCCCATAAACCATTGCTGTCAGAAAAGAAAACACTTTTTTCTTTTATTTTCAACCATCCCGGATACAAAAATTTATCGTCATAGAGCCTGCTGGTCATAGGAGCTGCAGTTTGTTTAGATTCATCTTCTACAAGATCACATTGCAAACCAGCAGAAGGCACTTGAACATGCTCGGTCCTTTTTTCAGGCAAATTACGAGGATCAAGAACTGTCAACGATAGAATTGCACGAGAAGGAAGATATTCATCATGCTCAAGGATGAAAGACTTTTGAAGCAAAGAGTTGTCTGTTGCCTCCAGAGTTGAAAATTTATCCAACTGAAAAGAATTTTCTGGCACGCTGCAAAAAAAAAAATCAGAATTAATAACCGCACTTGGCTATTAAGCTTAGCACTAAAGGAAATGGATTCTACTTTTGGATAACATAACTCACCCTGATGTAGGACTTAATATCTTCTGAAGAATCTGAATTCCTTTCAATCCCAATACCTCTAGTCTTGCTAGTTCACCTTCACGTGTAACACAATTGACAAAGTTACCACTCCCGTGTATCTGAAATATAAAAACAGAAGTAACAAGATAACTAAAGTTAGACAAACATATAACTAAGAAAATCTTTTTCTTTTTTTGAGAATTCAATTTATGTAGACTAAATTTATTATAATTTGGCATTAAACTTAAGATGCTTTCACTTCTATAACTATAAAAGATGCCCTCTAAAAGTGGAGAACTAGCAAAAGTTCACTTAGGGTCGGTTTTGTTCACCAGAATAGGTGCCTAGGATCAGAATCAAAAAGCCCCATCCCGATTCAAGCCATTTGTTTAGTTGGAATGGGATTCCGATTCCCATTCTTGGCAAAATGTGATTCCCACATATGGGAGAATGGCCATTCCAAGCCCCCCCCCCCTTCCCCGGAATGGTATTGTCATTCCAAAGATTCTCAAAAAGTAAAGAACTCCCAACAAAAGAGCACCCCAAATCACAAAATTTATAAAATATTAGTAAAATAATAAAGTACTAATAAAACGTTATTAAAGTATAATAAGATAATAACATTTGTTCAGAGAACCGGACTGGGATAAAACCGGAGAAGGGAGAGGTTCACAGGTCAGAGGTTCAACCATGGTTGAATCATGACGATGTGACATATATGTATATATATACTACGGTTATATAAATACTATATATAATATATTTTATAACTTTTAATATACTTAAATATGGAGGATGGATGACAAATTCTTAATTTTTAAAGAAAATAACCAAGGTTCAAGTCTCTTAATTTACATTTTCTTTAAAATACGTGTGTAATAAAGTAGTATATACAATAATCATCAAAAAACACAAGTAAAGAGGTGGACTAGTGATAATTAAGCAATATATGAAAATACGAGGTCATGGGTTCAAATCTTGTCAAGCACATTTTAAAATTTCAAGTATTTAATGGCCAAGGTGGTTTGATGAAACTGGCACCAGTTCACCGATTTTCTGGTTAAGCCAACCTATCAACCAGTTTTCACCAGGTTTTTAACAACATGGTTATTGGGTTATGACCAAACCAGCTAGGGCCCTAGGTCACGGTCTGACCGGCCAGTCCAATCCGGTTTTCTAAACACTAGATTATAACAATAAAATAATAAATTACTAATAAACTATTAACAAAATATTAGTAAAATAGTAATAAAATAATAGTACAAGAATAAAATATAAATAAATTAATAATCAAATACAAATATATTAATTATTAATAATAAAATTATATAATAATAATACAATATTAATAATAATTAATAAAATATTAATATTTACATGATAAAATAACAAAAAATAAAAATAGTAGTTAATATTTATAAATTTATAAATTACTATGATATAAACACAAAAATAATAATAAACTAATCAAAAAAACTAAAAAAATTTAGTTGAATTTGATTTGAACTCTAAATGAACCAACAACAAGGATTGGAATCCAACTTCGATTCCCATCTGAACCAAACAAGCGTAGGGAATAGGCAATTTCAATTCTGATTCCAAGGGGGATATCAACTCTGATTCCATTTCTGATCCTGACCATGAACCAAACAGACCCTTAATATTGTCTCAAACACTTACCATTCATTCAGGGGAGGGGGGATAGAGGGAGAGAGAGAATTTAATAGGATATACCTCTTTTTGGCATGCTAATTTCAGAGCATCATATCCTTCATCAAGAGCTGCAGCATGTATCCATACCCATAGCTGGCGGAATGGAGACTCCGATATAGTGATCTGAGATTGATCAAGTCCATTGCCTGTAGGCTCCTTATTTTCAACACTAATTTTTTTCCCACTCCAGGGCCGCCACATATAAGTTACTGGAGCAATTGGTTGACAAGGATGTGCTCCAGCATGATGAAGCTGCAAATAACATGAGATTATGATCTAGATTTTTAACCAATCCAAAATAAAGCTAGATTATGTCATTGTAGCTGCCAAAAAAGTAGCATTGTCTTTAAAGGTACCTACCATAGCTTTTCCATAACTAACTCCAGAAAGCAAAGAAAGGTACATATCTTCTTCTATTAGAACTGATGGTGCTGGTACTAGAACCATTCTTAAAATTGACAATAAAGAGTCCTGGAAACATAAACAGTAGATAATATTTTCAGGTTACAAAATATAAACCAATAAAACAAAAACAGCAAGACAGCACTATTATTTATGGCTTAAGGACTCTGTCAGTGAAGTTGCTTTGCTAGTGTATCATTTGACAAGGAGCCACTTTTATGCCAAGAGGAACAGCCGAACAGGGTGTAAACCCAATTTGCAAGTTATAAAGATAAAAGGGAATGCCTGCCTCTGGACCCTCCAACTGGACGGCACAATAGTAGCTTGCGTCATGCACAAGAGCCCCATTGTTTAACCACTTCAAGACAGCCCTTGATCCTCTTCCCCTACATCACATTCATAGGGAGCATAGTGAGATCATAATACCAATTTTGCCAACTGAAAAGAGAGGGGGATATAGACATTAGAGACATGGTCACAAGACCAAAAGAATGACAATGGAAAATTTAACTCAAGTGATCATTAGAAGATAACAACTCAAAGCATATAATCCAGCATATTTAAACTCATGAACTTTATAGGCTCTAGGTGAAAATGGAAATTTTTCAGTTTTTTTAACAAATAGTGCAAGTGCATTGATCATGTTATTACTACATGGATTTGAACCCAAATGCAAAGAACTATTAAAGACCAATGATGACATAGAAAGGTTTTATTTGTTCAATTATTTATTTATTGAGCTTTGTCCTGCTTAACAATCTACAGTACAAATATATATTACCTGCCTTGCAATCCCAAAGGAAGATGAAACCCCCAAATTTTTGTCATGGAAAACCGCTTTGCATGCCAAAGGTGTGATCTAAGCCTTTTTGTCCCATCTCTAGAAGAACAAAAGCTACTCTCAGGATTCTTCCTAAGTTCAATTCTCCGACGAATTCGACGAGGGATCTTCTTTGGATCTTTCTCAGGAACAGAAGCTCCACCTTTATCAATTTGTCCCAATTTCCTTCTCTTTTTTGATCTTCTCTTCCCAACCCGATTATCATGACCAGTTGTTCTCCTCCTCTTGTTACGTTGAGACCTGAAATCATTGTTTAACCGATTTGAGATAATTGAGTGCAAAACTTCAATTTCAGAAGCTCGGGACTCTGCAAACTTCTGCACATCAAGGGTTCGAGGAGGTGGAGCTACAGACACTCGAAAACGTTTGCTTCGCTCAGCAGCCATTGGAGGATGATAGGATAAAAGTCTACTAATATCTGGATAATTCAAACTTATATGTAACCCAAGACTGCAAACTGCAAAAAGTAACTTATCACATAAGTAACCTATATCAGCAAAATGATAGTTTGTTTTGGCCTACTTACCTAAGCAGAAAAGTCAAGAAGTATGTCTGATTACCAATTATTGAACAGTCATTTTTCCAACTCTTTACCAATAATAATATATAACATACCATTATAGAGCAACAAAATGATTGACAGAGAAAGTTTTAATTCTTGAGAAAAAAAGATACCCAAATTGGAAACAAAATAAACAAGAATTTTATGTTTATAAACCTGGTGTTTATCAAGTTTCTTGAATGAAGGTTCAGTCTATTTTGGTTAATAAAGAAGTCCCTCTAAAGCCTTTGATGCTAATTCTTGCTTAGTGCAGTAGCTTCTTCTTTATTTGGTTGATGCATTTTTTTCTGGTCAGGGCCACCAAAAAGAAGTGTGCCTTCTGAAAAGGAACAAAAAAAGTTGAATTCCTGAATATGAAAGTCTGTTTTCAATCATAGTTTCTTTGATAAACTTTTATCATTTACAGTAGCAAATTTCTACCATATTCAGCCACTGTTTTGTGGTTGAACTGATTCACTATACAAAAATGAGAAATTACTTTTGTATGCTTACTTTCTCCTTCGAATAGCTATTTCTGTATCCAGACAGTTGGGACCAACATTGCTTAGTTTGTAGCAAAATCTTGGGCTGACAATCATGAGAACAGGGGTTCAAGTCCGTGAGCTGCGCCTTTATGTAAAAGAAATTGCTAATGGAGGTTCAAGAACCCAGACAGCTGGGACCAACATTGGGTAATGACCTTTTTCAGGTCATTGTAGATTATTAATTTTTGTTTATAAACTCCAACCTCATTGTAGCTATTAATTCTGATGGAGTTACTCTACCTTGGTGTGATCGTTGGAAAATGGCTCACTTGGACTGGATTGGAGTCGCCACCCTTTAGTTGAAAGAAGTTGAGGTGATGGGACCTCTAGAAACTAAGTTTAAAATCATTTTTGCTTGATAGTGACTCCAAACACAAGGCACCGGCTGAACCAATCCAGGTAAGACTCATATGAGAGAGGGAAGAGGTTAGGCACCCCTCTCCTGTGTCTGATAGGTGGGACCCACAAGGGTGATTCCAAGGAAAGCACAAGAACAACTACATAATTTAATCAACAAAGAAAATAATGATAGAAATGAACATAAGACAATAGCGAGAAATCAAGTCAAGAACAACTGAACACAAGAAAAAAAAAACTTTTTTTATTTTTTATTATTTATTTATTTATTCTATTTTTTTGTTTGTTTCATCACATTCTGTTACCACCATTATTAATCTTTTTTTATTCATTTTATTTATTTATTTTATATTTTTTTGTTTCTTCCTCCCCCTTATACACTTTTTACTAGTTATTATTATCTTTTATGAATGTATTATTATTATTACATTTTTTATTATATTTTTCTATTATTTGTATAAATATATAATTATATATATATATATATTATTTCTTTATTGTTCTATAACTTTTATCCATATATACATGCATTTTGGACACTTTATTCAACCCAAGAAAAGCAACCATTAGGGCTAAAAGTGAAATCCCCATTTCCTTGAGATTGTCTCATGTCTCAGCCACAACAGTAAGGAATTTTTTTTTTTTGATCAATAACTGGAATTCATTAGATTAAAAGAATTTAGTTACAGCGCTCCAAAGAGAGATAAACAGGCTTAACTCTCTCCAGGAAGATAACAAAAAGGAAAAATTTACAGAACTGCCCAAAACATTTGATCCCTTCCCACCCCCTGCTTTGCCAAAGCATCAGCAAATGCATTTGCTGTTCTCTTGACCCACTGAAACTTGATTTCCAGTCCTCTAGTTAGCCACTTAATCTCCCTCCTCTCATTAACATATTTCCAAAGTCCACTACCTTCTTGTAACCAATTTAAGACCAGCTTTGAGTCCCCTTCAACGACTAACTTTTGTATATTCAGTTCCTTAGACTTCCTTATACCCTCTAGTACTGCATAGACCTTAGCTTTGAGAGAGTCTCCAAACCCAATGGAACCTGAATACAAAGTGAGCACCTTCCCACCCTCATCTCTGAAAACCCCTCCTACACCTGATGGACGTGGATTTCCTTCACTACTTCCATCGAAGTTTAGTTTTATAAGTCCACTTCCTGGTGGTGACCACACAAGACAAACTAAAGAGTGAGTAGGAGCAGAATTTGCCACCTCCAACCAGCTATTCAGCAACATATCCGTAGAAATATCAACAAACAAGTCCAAAGGTTTCAGCTAACGTACCACCCTCACTGTTACTACTTCAACAAGGCATTCTTTACTTCTTTCAATTTCAGAGAAAATTCTAGTGTTCCTTTCCTCCCAAAGAGTCCAACAAATAGCAGCCCTCACACATCTCCGCATTATCCTTCCCCTTTTGTTTGGCCAACCAAAGAATGAGGGGCTAAACAAACTTTGAATGTTTGGCAATGGGGTTCACCTGCAACCAAATATTGTGCTATATTTTTTATTATATTTCTTATTATATATTTTTTATTTGTTTTATTTATTCTCTCTTTTTTAGAGATAGCCTAATTATCCTAAAAAAGAAGTCTAATGTCTCTTAGAAGGGAAACACCACAATTAAGAGTTAAATGAACTAGACGAATTGAGAATAACCTAGTTGTTTGGGAGTCGCAAATTCCCATAAACAGATCTGGGACCCAATGGTTTGAGCATAATCAGCCGTTTTAAGATTTTAACGTCAAACTCAATTGAGATGCCCATATAGCAATTGAAATGTACAATAGATTCAACGGAACCGTCTATCCAACTCAAACTAAATATCCAACAAAAACTGTGACAATGGAAAATGAACAAAGCACATGAAGAAAATGAAGAACAAACTAGCTAATTCAGCTACCAATAGTTAAAAATCAAGGAGGCAAACTTTGTATAAAATCCTGAAATAGCCTAATGGAATTGAAACAAAGCTGCGACTATCCAACAAACTTGGATCAAACCCTTCATGGAAATTATCATAAAGTTCAACACCTTCAAGCAAGAATAAGATCGATTAGTGTGAGTGTTGGAAAACCGCTGACTTGGGCTGACTTGGAGTCACCACACATCATTTGAAGCAAGTGGAGGTGATGCGACCTCCGGAAATTGTATCAAAAATCATTTTGCTTGATAGTGACTCCAAACCCAAGGCACCAGCTAAATCGATCTAGGAAAGACTCGGATGGGAGAGGGAAGGGATTAGGCACCCCTCTCCCGTTTCCAATAGGTGGGGGCGCACATTGGATCCCAAAACATAAGCAAGCAACAAGAATTATCTAAACAAACAAGAGCAGAACTTATAAGTCAACATTAGATGGAAACTGTGAAATAACACAAAACAAGATAAAGACAGTTAACAACTAAAAAAGGATTAACATAAAAATTAACCATGACATAACGAGTCAATTCAATCAAGAACTACATCCAGATATGAGGATTGTGTAATAACTTAAATAAAGAACACAAATGATTTAGTAGAGAAAATAAAATGAAATAAAAGCTGAAGTTAGGATTACCTACTCTCAAGTAACACAAAATGACACATCAAATACAAGCAACCCAACAGAAAATTCATTATATTCCAACATCTACATGATTCAATAGATGAGTCAAAGTAATGATCAACCCTATTAACTAAATCCCTGCTCATTTATAAAAAACAAAGCATAACTCACCAAACCTGTAACTAAACTAAGCGAAGACTACCTATAGCCTTTTGATTCCAAGAAATTATAAGAGGAGAAATATACAATGGATAAATAAGCTTCAGCCTATTGACAATCAAAAGCAGCAACTCAAGGGAAGCCACCTCTACTGCACCTAAGGCTCAGTTTGGAAGGAGTACAAATACAAATATGTAGAGTGCAAAACCTTGTATTTTGTATTACTTTATATGTATTTGCACTCTACATATTTGTATTTGTAGATGAGAACAAAACCGAAACAAAAACCCTCATAGTGGAACGTTTATTCTTGCCCTTCTATGATAATTAAATTTTCGAAATATGATATTGCGATATTGACAGGGTAGTTTCTCAAAGCTTCATTAACATACCGATTCAAATTATCAAGAGCTGGAATTAACCATTAGGCATTATTGATCTAAAGAAAAAAAAAAAAAAAAAAAAAAAAAAAAAAAAAACACAAAACTCAAATTGCAAAATACATGGTCTGTCATAATCCAAAGACTTACATTCTGTGAGATGACAAAATGAGAGTGGTAGATGGTTAGAGTTGCAGAAAGTGCATGAAAACAACAAAAAAAATGCAAAAATTATGCAGAAAAACACCAGAAAATTGCAGAAAATGCAGAAAAATACTAGAAATTACAGAAAATGCAGAAAACTACCAGAAATTTGCAGAAAATGCAAAAAAAAATGCATAACTTTTGCATGTGTTGGTTTGTGGTTCAACTGAATAGAGCAAGTGTTTTTGGGGCATGTGTCTAACTGTTATTGGAAAAGTGTGATTGAAAATAATAGTTCTCGTTGAAGACAGATGTGTAGACATCTTATGAATGAAGTAACAGATCTGTAGTGGTTGGGTGGACCTACTACTAGAAGGTTAAAGGCAAATGCATGGATCTTTGAGTCTCTCACCACTAAACACCTTGTCTTTTAACTGCTAAAATTCATTGTATTTGTGTAATTTCTGGTTGTTGATTTCCATAGTGGGGGCCTAAGTTGGATTATCTTTTATGCGTCTGAAAGCAAGTCTTTCCATTTCTAGACTACTGACTACCCTACACATCTGAAAGCAAGGAAAAGGAACCTCATTAGAAAATGATTTCCATAGTGGGGCCTGAGTTGGATTATCTTTTATGCATCTGAAAGCAAATCTTTCCATTTCTAGACTACTGACTACCCTACACATATGAAAGCAAGGAAAAGGAACCTCATTAGAAAAAGAAACCTGAAACAGCCACCAAAGCAACCAAACACAAACACAGCTATAACTACAAGACAGAAAATAACAAGCTAACAAAGAGAAAACTAGATTGCTGACTACCCTACAAACTACAGAAACTATCACAAACTAAATAATACCACAAACACCAGAGTTCCAAGTCTGCAAATCATCAGAAAGAAAAGGCAAAATCTAATCAGGAGAGCTATAAACAAAAAACCCAGAACCAGAAAGGCCTTGCTTTGCTGCATTTTTCAGGTGAATTTAGTGTAATATTACTTGTATACCAGGTCTCCAAAGTCAGTTCTATATTTTATATGTAAGTCGAGCTCTTAAATGCTAAAGGAAAGACCCAATTGCTTGGCAAAGACAACAATGGACGCCAAGTAGAAAGACATTCCTTATAATGTCTGTACCCAGAAGCCAACCTAAATATTCATTGGGTCCATGATACAAGCAGACACCTTATCTTCTTTCAATGATGATATACTACTGCAGATCCCCTCCCTGCACCTCTCTTCCCAAGGCACATGTAGGGATGTCAAATTGGTTGGGTTCGGTACGGTTTTGGCTCGACCCCAAATCCAACCCATTAGTACACATGACTAGAAATATAGCTACTTTATTGTATATAGTCTAAAAATAAGAAAAAAAGAGGAAAGAATCACTCACCCAAGTTCCTTTCTAATCAGCATTCAAGAAACCATGGTGATGACTCTGATTTGTAAGCAGATATGTTGGAGACATATTTAAAAATATTTTTGAGCCTAGCCGTCAACCATTAGTACACACATAGCTAGACAAAGAGCTTTTGTCATCTAAATTTCTTCTCTTTTTTATCTGGGTTAGCTATTTTATCATGCAAAGGCAGTGGTGGTGGTGTTGCTACTATTAGTCTGATGCATTCTTGCTTCATTGTGTGGTTTAAACCAAACCAAATAGTTGTGGGATGAGGGTTTGTTGAAGAAACCTCATCTGCTTTATAATTTTCAACATCTACCTTGATAAATCAGACTGTGTTTTTGATTTTGCAGATTAAAAATGGTCATAACTTTGTTCCATATTGGCCAGCAGAACTTTATACAGTTGTTCCAATGAAGTGTTTTCTATTCACACCCCTCTAGTTAGACTATCTGACAATTGTCAATCAATTTTGATACCCACCTGAATATGTAATTCAACCTAGTTGCCAAAACTCTTATGAAGTGTGTACGATGCATGGGTCTTCTTCTTGGTAAGCATCTACCTTATGGAATCACCTCCATGATTTCTGCTCTAACACAGTTTCTATCACCTATTAGGCCTGAAACATAACACCTTAATGACCTCTCCAATCTCACCTCAAAGCCCCCTCCCCCCATTTGGAGCAGCCATCAAAGTCCATGATTCATGCACTCTCAGTAATTTGGATTTGGGATCAAACTGGTGTTAACTCCTTTTATTTCTTTTTGAATTGAGAAATTTCTAATCATTGACATACTTTGTTCCCATCAACTACATTATTTCATACCTATGTTGAACTCATGTATTTCCATTTGTGTTTAGGACTATATGAACCAGATAAGGTTGCCTCAACAAAACCTCATCCCCCTTTGTGTTTTCATGGGTTTTCATTTAAGCACCTTGGCTGATTTACATTACAGAGAAAGGGTAAATGCCCTTTTCCCTATGTGTAATTATCATTTTTTATGTTAAATTTGATACAGATTTCTTTCCAAATTTAAATGTTTTTGAGGCTAGCTTTTCTTTCATTAAACCAAATCTTGGGTTTAGAAAGCTCATTTTCTTGTGGGGGTCTCCTTTCATATTAGAGTCCATCCCTCTCACTCTGCCTTGATGATTGTTGTGCCATTTCGAAATTGATTTTGTCCCCTACAAACATCCAAGAAATAAAGTTGTTAGTCTCATTATTTTCTTGTACTGTTAGTTCAGCAAAGATGATTAAAGGTATCACATGTTAGTGATGAATTTTGTTACTTTTCGTCTGTGTAGGGGTTTCATTTTACCTTACCAATTACCCAGCATCAATGAATATATCTTGTGAGATCATCATGAAAAGGAATGGAGGAGACAGAGACTCAGAGAAGCTCTTTTCACCATAAGCTTGCATGAATTACCAAAAGATCAATCAACATTTACAAATAGATTTCAACAAATTTGGTGGTTAATAAAAGAACAAATAGATTGGTCTATGACAAACCATTAGCTTGCAGATAGATGGGTCTGACAAGCTAGCTGGTTGCAATCAGATAATCTTCAGGCCGCACAGCTAAATGTAGCATTTAAGTTTTGTTTTAGAGAAGAAAAAAAACACAGAAATTCAAAACAGAGAGGGAAAAGAACAAACTAAAAAAAGGGAATACTTGAAGACATAAAAGAAGTTATTAGTACTAGGCCTGCTGGTCATCTAAATATGCAGAACCACATGTGGCAAATTCACACAGACGAAACCCCAACATGTAAGAACTGAAAAACTCACACAGATGAAACCCCATCAAGTAATGTACATCAGTTCTAGCACTTAATTTTAACTAGTCCCTGTAATCAGGAAGTTTATCTACCTGTAATTACTACAAATGCAACTTTGCAAATCTCAAGATGTTACTATTATGTCAAAGTATGAATGGCTAAGTTTTTAGTGAGCAGAAACAATACAAAAAAGCCACGCTACATAAACAAAAACAATGGCAACCGTGAAGTTAACACACACCTCAGAATGGAGATCTGGAACAGATAATGGTTGATTCAAAAGAGAGAATGAATAGATCAAACACCAAACGTTTGAGGCGACGGAGAGGCGGAGCGATGTCTAACCTTCACAAGAACAGAGGAGGTGAACTATAAGAGTTTGAGAACGGAGGATAATGGCGGAGAAACCGTCGAACTCTACAGAAATTTCACTGAGAGCTTGAGAAAGTCATAAAATGGTAGAGAATGGTGGAGAAACCTTCGACCCTGAGAATGGTGAAGAATGGCAGGAAACCATCAACCCTTACTCAGAAACCTTCGCCTTAACAAACTTTCGAACCCTGAACAAGTGAACAAACTTTTGAACCCTTAACAGAAACCCTCGACTCAACCCATCCACACCCTAACTCGACCCAACCCATCCCGACCCTAGTGAGTACCTTCCACCCAACAAACTTTTAGTATTCCGTGCTATTCACTATTAATAACTTTAGGGGTGAGCAAAAAAACGAAAAACCAAATCAACCGAACAAGTCGATTTGATTTCGGTTTAGTGTTTTTAAAAAATCAAAGGTATCGGTTCAATTTCGATTAACCAATATAAAAAAACTGATGGTTAACTGAATCGGCCGGCATACTTATATTTTTATATATTTTATATATATTTATGTATATTATATATTTTTTATATATTATAAATTAATAAATAAGTATTATATATAAATATATATTTATAATATATTATTTATTATTTATTATTTAAAATATAATATTTTATATATATTTTTATTTTTTTTATTATATATTTATAATATATATTGTAAAAACTAAAAAACCAAAAAACTGACAAACAGAATCGATCAACTAGTTAATTGATTGGTTTTGGTTCAGTTCCGGTTACCAGTTTTCCAAAAACCAATACTATCGATTCGGTTCAAAAAAAATGCCCCACAGTTCGATTAATCGAACCGTGAGCACCCCTAAATAACTTTCTCTTGACCCCTTTTTCCCCAAAGTGTTGGTTGTGGGATTTGATTCCATGTCAACACTAGAACAAACCAGTTAACACACCAACGAACCAATCCTCGGTTTCACTCAACCCATATTGACCCTCTAATAGAATAAGTGGGTATGGATGAGTATGGGTGGGTTCCAACGTGGATGGGTTGGAAGGATCAAAAGGGTTGGGGTCAAGATTGCCAGTCCTAAGGGTGGATTTCGGATATTGACACAATGGTCTTGTATATACGAGCGAATAAGATTGGTAGAGAGACAGAGTTCTTAAATGAGAAATTGGGTGGTGTGTGGTATAGTGTGGTGTGATCTACACTACATCACACCCCAATAGGATAGTTGTTGTGCATTGTGGACAAAAATGTGTGGACTAATCTACACCACACCTCCATGGGTGTTCTACAAGGTGTGGCACATTTTAGTCCATATTTGATTCCATAAATCTCAACTAAACATTTGAGATTATCTATGTCATTAATCATTAAAAAATAATATTTTTATTTTTTTATTAATACATACAATAGAAAAAATATTAATAAAGTATAAAGAATTTTAATAATTAATAAAAATAATATTAATGATAATTATTAATATTAATAATATTTAATAACAAATAATGATATTAATATGAACTAAAAATGAGTAATATTAATAACTAAAAAATAATTATTAATATTAATAAAAATAATATTCAAAACTTAATAAACCAACAAATAGATTGCATTATATTACTCAAAAATGAGTAAGAATTTTCTCCTCTTGAGGAACCCATGCACTTACATGGGTATCGTCAATTGCACCAATTCAATCCCATTTGTACACACATGGTTAAAACATGAAAAATACAACAAATATGTAAACTTGTTATGGGATGCCATTAAAATTATCTGAAACCATGGATAATATTTTTCGGAATGCCTGATGTGAGGATGCACCTCTTTAAATGAGGGTGGACAGATCAATTCTTTCCCAAGTTTAAATATTGCTTTGCAAGTTCTCCTAAAGTGAATACTAATGGTGCTCTTAGAATGTTGGAACCTACTGACCATAATACAATATCGTTCATTATGGCCAACTGTTAAGAGAAAAAATTGCCAAAGATTCTTTAACTGTGATATTTTGGGAGTTTTCCAAAAGGCCTCGTTCTCTTAACATATTTGCAAAATTCTTAAAAACATGCATCTCCATCCTAAAATTATCATATACTTTGTCAAAGTGTTTTAGGTCATCTAAACATTTAAGGACAAAAGCATGACTACTCATATTTGATGTACAATAAGGTTGTTTAGTGAAATATGTATTGTAGTATTTCATCATTTTATTCAAAAGGATGAATTCAATAAATTCATTATCATATTCATCTCATTCATAAAAAAGAAGTGTATTTACTATACTTGAGTTATCCATTAATATACTATTGATAAGACATAACATTCAAGCACCAATATTCAATATATACAAATAAAACATAATAAATTAGACACCAAAATTCACTATAATCCCTAGCTAAATTTATCACAAAATTATAATCAATGTTCATAAAAGTTCATCACCAAAGTGAAAATCACATTCATCATAATACTTTAACTAAACATATAAACAGAAAAGATAACTTGTTCAAGCAAAAAAAAGTCTAAATAGTATAACCCTGTAATTCATCAAATGTCAAGAATACTCCAATATTCATTCTTGAAGGCTTGATTTGCCTTCAAGACATGCCCAACATTGATTAGTCCCATCATCAAGAATTCATTTACAACTTCCATACATTTATAGATTGGGTTCTCCTTACTTTGTTCTTCCATTTCTTTATCCTTTCTAATTTGCCTCTCCATCTGAAACTTTAATCATGTTCATCTTACATTTGGACATTTCAAACCATATCTCCATAGCATGCATAAAATCACTTCATTGCCTGGTCATCTTCCCTTTCTTAAGAGATGATGGTAGAGAACCCCTTCTTGTTAATCCATCTATAAGTGGCAAAATCTCTATGTCAGTGTCAACATGTGGGGTGTCTGGAGTGGAGGCATAAGGTGTTTGTATTCATTGGAAGAGTTGTCACCAATCAAATCTTGTGTCAACGGGATTTGATATTTTTTTTCATCTAAATGGGTCTCTCCATTACCCATGGAGTTGTAACTGGTTGCACTAATCCCTAAATAAATAATCTCCAACTCCTCATAGTATGGGCAACCCTTTTTCCTCATATGTTTAGCACACTTATACTCTGCATGAAGTATATTTGGTGTTAGCATCCTAATAATTTGAAATCTATAAAAATAGTTATATATATATATATATATGTTCATAACATTCTTACCAAAATAAGATTGTCTCATACACTCTCACTAGCGCTTGGTTTCTTTGTGATTGGATTTATGGTGACTCCTTATTCTAAATTGATTGCTTTGTTATTGACAAAACGGATACTTGGTTTTGATTGATTAAAATATTAGTTTCACAAATATATTCGGTTTTCTCACAAAAGTAAAAAAGAGGATATTTGGTTTCACAAATATACACTGAATGTGTTCAAATATGAGTTTTTGGTTTTCTTTGAAACCAACGCACATACAATTTTAATATATCTAAGTTTTTCCTTGTCTCATTAGTGCTTGGTATTTGATTGATTAAAATAATTTCTTTTTGGGAATCATGTTGTTTATTTTAAGCTTCACCTTTTTGTTTAGTTTGAAGATAAAATTAATTAAAGACAAACATTATTTGTTTGCTAATTTGGTTATACTTAAATGGTGTGTGATTTTTTTACCTATTCGGTGTAGTTATCCAAGTTTGAAAATTCTGACCTCACATTTTGTTTGTGAAATTGATTAAGACCTATTCGCATATTTAACTTGCTTGTATGATATTAGTTAGACGAAAATTTGTGAATCAGATTTTTTTGGATCCCATTAATGTCATAAATCCCATAATCCCATAAATTCTTTTTAGCATGGGTTATTATTATTATTATTATTATTATTATTATTATTATTACTATTACTATTACTATTATTATTATTATTATTATTATTTAGGAGAATGACGGTTTAGCCCAGGGTCAGAATTTGTAGGCCCAAAGTACAATTGGGGTAGGTGCCAGCTCGGAATTGATGCCAATTCATAGCAGGCATTGGTGTATAGATTAGGGGTTTTTGACATTTTAAATGTTTATAGATCTGCAGTGGAATTCAGAAATCTGCATTGGGCCTGTCTGTACCTCTCCGTTGTTATTTTTCCCGTTAATCCCAATGTTTTAATGTTTCTTATTTTTGTTAAATCCTAAATTATTGGTATATGTTATTTGGATTTGATTTCTTCTATTTAACAGCCTTTGTTTCTTCTTTTTCTAATTGCAAGGTGTAAAATGTGTAAGCATCATTTGTTTTTGCCGACTTGTTTTGGCACTGAATTAGAGTACAGAGCATTTGGAAAGTGGGAGCTTGAATCTTAAACAAAGCTAAGTCCTTCTAATTCTTTATTTACTTAATTTTAATCACGAGTGGTTCTTCTCTATTGTCGCTGTTAAACTTAACAAAATCGAATGAAATATATATTTTTGATGTGGAAACCTAGGATTGTTAGAATCCTTTAAGTTAGAAAATGTAGAACATTTTTTAACTAGTGATATTTCCGAAGTTCCCGAAAGTGATGATGATCTTATTGTTGATAGTAATTATGCTAAATTTCTTAATGAAATAAAATTGCTAGATCCAACTTGTTTATATTCATGGAACCTGATATTGAATTGATTTTTATGTTCAATGCTATTACTGAAACTTATGGAAATGTTACTAGAACTTATGTGCAATTACTAATTGAAAAAATACTATGCATGTAAAATGAAAGAGACTATTCTGTAGTAGATCATATTAATAGCATGAATGTGATAACTAAAGAGCTTGCTACATCTAAAAATCCTATTCCTGAAAAAATACAGGCTTTTACTATATTTCATAACTTGCTTAATCCATGGGAACCAGTAGTTATTGACCTAAACCTTTCTATAGCTGATTTGAAACTAAAAAGTCTCACTTCATTATTAGCATTAAAGGCTGAAAGGAAAAACAAAAAGAAATCATATCAAGTTATAATGGCTAATATTGCTACTACCACTAAGATAGATAACAACCCAATAGGAACAAGAAAATAAAAAGGAAATTTTAAAGGGAAAAACAAGTGGCACAAAAAATTTAATTTCCAAAAAAGCTTAAAAAAGAAAGTAACTTGATACAATTGTGGAAAGGTTGGACATACATAACCTAATTATAGGGAGCTCAAGAAAAAAAGAAATAAGAATTATAATAACAAAAATAACTATCAATATAATAACAAGAACAATAAGAACTATGAAACTTCTGGAACTAAAGACATTAGTTATGTCATTTCAGAATCCT